AGCGTAGAGTGCATGACATGTTATGTTGAGTGTGTGACCGCAAGTTAATGTACCGCAGTGTATGCTGGGATTTCGTCGGGGATGAGCCATGTCCTCGGAGATTGTTATGTAAAAGTACGGAGCTTGTGCTTGAGAATAAAACGTTTCTAGTTTAATGGAAGCTTGTAACAACAGGAAACGCTATCAAGACAATTTAACAGTGAGAAATCCACATGTATCAACATGCCGATAACATTTCACGGACAGTTGATAGGTGAAAAGTTGGGAAAGCCAACAAGAATCAAATCCGAAACTGAAGCGAGTGACGACTATACAGTAAGAAATTTGCACATGGTGTACTGTACCTTGTGTATCCGTTAGAAAGGTAAGACAAGTCCTCATACTCTTAACACTCTCTGGACTCTCAGGCAGACCGTGTTCCCCAGGCTCCACCAGGATGTAAAACGTCGTGCCGTTCGAGGTTGTAAGCACATCGTCAATGGACTGGGCCGCGGGTGACTTCTACACAAGCCATGCAAATGAGAAGCACACAATAGTCCATATTCGTATTCTCGGTATTGGACTGGAACTAGCTTGCAACTGAGGCTAATGTGGGAAGTCGTTTTAAATGCAAATGACTCTAATCGCTTTTTTAAATTATTAATGATATTCCCCCGCACAAGCCTCTATTTCAAGCTAGTTCCAATCCAATACCGAGAAAACGAATATGGCCTATTAATCAAACTTGAAGTGTTTTTTTTCTCCGTTAGTTTTGAGCGTTTAGTTTTCAATTCTTTATTCCACCAGGCGATTTATTTCAGTCTACTTTCTCTCGCTTGCTTTCCGAAGGTTAGCTAACTTCATGGTTTTTTGAGAGATAAAATCAGGAATAAGCTCTTGCAAAATTGAGCCAATTTACCAGCATTAGTTAATAAGCAAACGGTTGATGCAGATAAGAAAACCACTGAAAGTTCTTACTTCTTTTTTCTTTGTCTTGCTCTGCTCTTGTTTTCCCATCTTATCTTTTTTCTTCATTCTGGACTCAGTTGAAGGCTAAAACAAAACTAGGAGTTAGTAAAAGCAAATAAAAGTCCAACAGAAAAGGAAATTATAGAAATGAAGTTTGTGAATTTCAAATTATAGATCGAATGAAATTACCCCTAAGTTGTAGAATTCATATACGATCGGCAAAAATTGGCACATTTGGAAGGTACTGCCGTAATATTTTTCAATATCTTGAGCTCCAGCTGCCCAGAAGTTTAGTTAGCCAAGCGAGGGAATTTCTGATTGCATTCGGAAGTTGGTGCAGTATACTATGTTTTTCTCTCTTATTTTTCTGTTTGCTTTTGCTATGATCGAGTTAGTAACATGACATCGACAAGCTTCGGAGCATTCATGAATGGTCGTAAAATTTTGTAATTTGCCGACAAGAATCGGAAACTCGTCGGGTATTTTACGAGTATTGTAAACTTGCACCTTTATATTCGTTATAAAATTTAACACCAATCTTCAGTTCCTATAGCCTCCTCCGTTTTCTGGGATGTCACGCAACGCTCCCTCCTTCTTTGGGGGAATCGTTGCGTGACATCCCCAAAAAACGACTGCGGAGGAGACTACAGTTCCTACGGAATCTGCTAATTTACTGACCACTGTTTGTCTCCGATCCACTTGGAAATACTTGCACACTTCTCCATCGTATTTCTTAAGTTCTTCATTGACTAAGTCGGGATAAGAACCGGACGTCTGCATTTGAAGGCTGTGAAAATCGTTGTACCTAAGAAAAAACAAAACGCAAAGTGAATTATCAAACAGAAATAGTACACTTGCGCTGTTTAAGGCAAAACATAGCAACTAAAGATGACAGGCGTGGGGTAACTGTGTAAAACATAGCCGCAGTATCTCTTTCTGTTTGTACTTACAGTTGTTTGATCTCATCCAGAGCAGTTAACGCCTTTTGCAGGCTGTCTGTCAACGCCTAAGTCAAGAGCAAGGCAAAGAACTTATTATGAGAACTGCAAAAAGAAAAGAGCCACATGTATTTACAATCGAATTCTTATTTTCACTTAATTATACCTGTTCACTTGAATCCTGCCTCATCTTGTCCATAATGATATCCAGATTTGCTTCTTTCACCTATACAAGTGACAGAAGTAAAACAAAGTGTAAAAATACTGAATGTATATTCCTAATGTATATAAATGGATGTACTCAGTCAACATAGACGATATCACAGTAAATCCATTCGTAAACGCTCTTACGGTTGCGTTCAGCAACGATATACTGACATCGTTTTGGACTGTGTACACACCTGATTTGCACCGTCGTGGTCTCGTCGATTTTTCTCCAGTTGCTCCTGAAAAACGTAAAAGTTTCCAGATTACTAAAAGGAGTAAATTCTCTTGATTACTATTGATAATTATTAAACGTAGGCGCTTATTGGCTATGAGTAATTTCGAAAACAGTATACGTATACAAAAAACCGACATCAACTCTGGGTTTCGTTTGAGTGACTAACTTTAGCGCAGATGTGGAATAATAACGAAAGAATCCTTAAGGGATTTGAGTGGTTTAACTGTGCTTGCCTCGGGTTATCTTTGGAAACAACCCCTAAGCGCATACAGTATCTAAAATAGCTCTGAATCTTTTTCGACCTGCGGTATGGAACTTAAATTCAGTTGTCAAATTGAAACCATGACACAGAGGCATAGAAATATACCTGCAACTTTCTTTCTTGTCGAGCCAAGCCGATCTCGTGTAGGTCCCATAAATGTGCCGCTCCTTGTACGAACTTGAACAGCGATTTGATCATCATCTCGTGAAAACTACTCATGTTCTCCAAAGAGCGCTGAAAATTGAAACGAAGTTAAGTAAGACCTTAGTCGTCAAGATAGTTTTCAACTAGCCGGCTTTATCTAACTTGTAATTAGCTTTATCTGACTTGTAACTAATGTTGACCGGCATCTTTACCTCCATTTTGTCAATCTCGTGTTCGAATTTTGTTTGCTTCTCGCCGATGAGTGGTAGGAATGACTCATTCATCACCTGTTGGAAAGATGAATGACACAAAATTATGTGGAGGAACGAGAATGAATACTCAGACAATGACACTATATTTCAGAGCTGAAAGAACACGTCATGCAGCATCTTACAATAACTGTTCTATACGTTTACGGCAGATTAGCTCTTAATAAGTTGAAATTTTTCGAGGCTATGTCTTGTTCTTGAAACCAAGAGACAAATGGAAGAAAAGATGATAATAGTAAAACGCTGAAACAGATAGACAAAAATAAATTGAAACACTAAAAACACTCGATCACCTCCTCGGTTCTGACTGCATCAAGAATGCCTCCTGACCGGAACTGCTCCTGGAAAACAAGACACAGAACAAACTAAAAAAAACTTTTTTGGTATGAGGTTGTGCCCCTCGTTGTCACTTTCACTGCTGCAACCGTTGCTGTCTCCAATTACATGTAGTCTAAACGTTCGCCTTTTTATGAAGCTGTAGATCAAGACGACATGCATGCCCTGGTTGTGATAATTTTTCTAATCTGGTCATTTCACATGTACAGTAGGTGCTTTACGATGTATCGCTACTGTACAGTCTTGTAAGAGGAAATTTATGTCGGTTAAACTTCAACTATTCGCTGATTTCATCGATTGTTGTGCACCTTAGATCAGAACATAAAAGTTTTCCTAGGAGATAAAGGTTACTAATCTCACTTACGGCCCTCATTTTCGCATGTCACAACACGTTGAAGACACAACGCTTAGTGACCACTGGTATTCTGCCTCTTAACCAATCAACTACAATTTCCCGGCTTTCAATAAGCTATCACAACTGTTGTACATAATGAACTAAGGAACAAACCTTGACACTGTTAACTTCCTCCATACACTGGTCAATAACACGGTCATACTCAGCCTGTAAAATGTCTTTGTACCTAGCATGGACCTCCTCTGAAAGCCCAAAATAGAAGTACAGTAACTTTAAACAGTAATCACGTAGAATTGGCAAGTTAATCTGACGAATGTATATCTAGATCCTAAATCATACTCCCAGCGATGTAAATTCCTCTCAGTTTTTTCGAAGTAAAGTATCGGTTGTTCTCGAAAGTCAACTGGGAAGACTGAATTTCTAAGCCAGTAGTCTAATCCCCTCCGATCGCGCTTCTAGTTTTCTCCCCTCCCTCCCCTTTGAACGTAATTGCCACGAAGAATTACTAAGCCAGTGAACAGACCTTACTACAGAACATCAGCAGGAGTTTATATAGAGCAAACTTATTTGAAACACTGGAGGAGTTTCCGATTCTTGTTCTCAAAACAGTGCGACAAAGATACGCCAAGTTAGCAGGTTTTTGAGAAGATTTGCAAATCTTGAGTGAAAAAAAAAACCTCATTTGACAAGTGGAAATCAAGTTCACACAATAAATAGAATCAAGTACATGGTCTACTCTATAAGGAAACAAGATGCTAATGTCGTTCCACTCCTGTTCCTCACAGACAAAACTGTTGCAGTTCTCACCAAAGACACAGCACTGACTAATTCAGGACAGGTGAACTCACCAAGTTGATGACATGTGTCTAACAAAGCAGTGTTCCATTGATAAACAGCAGATTTAGTGGAGTTAGGAGGCCTCATGTTCCTATAAAGACAGAGGATATAGACTATATGACCAACATGTCATTAAAAATGCTTAAAAACAACAGTTACACAAAAAGAAACATATCCATACAGTTAGAAGGGTGATGGCTAACTCAACCTGGAGAATCTTTCAATTTTCAAATTTACTGCAAATTAAATAATGTGAGGGTGTGTTTATGCAGTTGAATGCAAAAATCACTGAATCAAAATTGTGGAATTCTATTTGAATTACTTCTAGAGACAAACTACTTAAGATTAAGAAAGGCTATTCAAAACGAGTGACAGCTCTGAAGAAAACAAACAGGACAAAAAAACCAACTAATTCAGGGCTCATGAGATACATGTAAATGTAAACTCACGTTGCAGCTTCAACAAACCTTAGCGATTCTAAGAGATCCAATCTTTTCTTATTTAAAGTACGTTGTTCTGCAGTGAATAATTCCATCTTCCTTCTTAATTCTGGTGGGTCTTTGATTGATAAACTCTTCATGAACTCGCTACAATAAATACAAGAAATGCTAGTTTTATGAATAGACATACAAGTACTGTAGGTATTGAAAACATGACTCACGCATTGAGATTCCTAGCCAAGAATTGTTAATAAATAAACTGAGATCAATGTACATGTATGGTTGTTAACACTTCAAAATAGCTTAAAGTAGCCACCAGATGCCTAATAAATTGATCAATTCTTAAGAGACTTCTATCTTAGCTTCCATGTCATGATTGCTTATACTCACTTCTGTGTTTTGCTTTGGCCTCAAGCAAAGATAAAAGTGTGAGTTCTGGTTAACATTATGTTAATACTAACAATAATACAGCTAACTCACTTGAACTTCTCCACTGCCACTTGGCATTTCAGTTGTCTCCAGTCCTCTACTCGTCTTTGCCATGTTATGTAACACTGCCTCTCACGTTCAACATCAGCTTGAAATATATAATCATGAGAAGTTTTGTATTAGTATTTTAGATTGTTAAGTAAAGAGAATGGGCCTTTAATTATTTAGTTGCTATGCATAAGGCTTGTATCTACAGTAAATTAATGGTTAAAATTAAAACCATGAGTTTCAGCAGTTCTCAATATGTATACCATTATTCTAGCTGGTCCCTTCTGTCAAAATGACTGGTAAACTCCAAAATTTTAACAAGAATCAATAAAAATTGTTCTCAGTATATGGCAATTAATAACAATACTTACCACTCAGTAGGTTAGACGTGAGGTCTGCATATGCTCTCCTGTTTATTAGAATGGTGGAGTTGACTCGCTGAGCTTCCTTCTCTAACAATCTATGCACATCAGGGGGCATCAGGTGTGCTACTCTCTCAAGAACTTGGTTATAACCTTTCAGAGTCTCACGAATCTGACACAGTAAAAGAATAAATTGACATGAAAATGTCTAAAATTGCCAAAAGAAAAAGACACATCTCTTAATTTTGAGTAGAAAATGGATATTTTGAGCTCCTTATATCCTGAGATGTGAAGCAATTTTTTGGTATGAGTCAATCTAAGAGAAGTTCTCCTAGATTGACTCATACCACCACTCATACATGTGGTATGCATGTTACACCCCAGCAACCTATCATGAAGTGTACATCAAACATTTGGGATGAAAAGACAGATAAAGCCACAATAAAAGTACAGTTAATTTATCACCTATTTTGAGATTAAAGGCATGCAATTCGTGCAAAGGAAAGCTCTACAGTATTGCATGATTTTGTTGTAGTCTTTGTACAAATTACAGCCCGGCCTTATGATTCTAAACAAGTCCTCCATGATACACACCAAGTTTCCTCTGTCATATTCCACCTGCTCTAGAGTAGCATCCAACTCTCTGATCAATATTTGTCGATGAACAGAATGCACTGAAATACATTCCCATAGTTCCTCTAAATCAGCTAAGTTGTGAAGCAGCAGGTCCTACAACAGACAAGAGAAATTTGACACTTTTAGGCACAATTATTTTCTGTTAAATGTCTGAGGGGTGGATCCAAGATTTTTCTTAGGAGGGTGCACCACTAAGGAATGGCATAACTGACTGGTAAGGTAAACAGATTTTAAAAGCAAATACGAAGAAGAAGGCCTCATCTCGGAGAGGGGGTGTACACCTCCTGCACCCTCCCCCTCAATCCACCACTACATATGCATGCTTTCAAAAATTTGAAACTTACACAACTTTGTATACTTAACAGTTCACAAAGGCAATTTTGTATGAAGTTCAGAATTGATCTACAACATGTACCACTGTACAGATTGAAAATTGTGCCGCACACTTTTATTTTGGACTGAATGAAGTTTGGCAGTCACAAGCAGTATTAACAGATACTGTTTCTAATGTTCATTGAGAGGACATGGTGACTACATTCATTTGTATTTAAAATGCAACTAAAGCTACACTGTGTCACTTACATCATCACCTTCTATTGTTTGCAGCAGCTGCTCAATTTCTGCAATGAAAAACAACATTGATTTATAATGTAAAAGATATCTTTATGCAAAGATGGTAAAAATTTCTACAAATGATATTTAACAACGTTCTTTTCCCCAATAATATGATAATTTGATTTACCTGTATCATTTTCAACTAAGCGTTCTTTTAAATTTTCACAAGATTCCAGTATACGTGGCTCCAACTCCTAGAAGGTTTAAAGAATACCAGCCAACAGTCATATTTAAAAAAAAAACCCTGTCCTAAGACTATCAAACTTACTTTGACTTGAGCTTAAAGTACAATACATTACAGCCAGGACTCATACAGTCAAAAATTATGGTGTAAGCTATATTTATTTGTAACACTTGAATGTTTTAATATGCAGTTTTTACATGTATATATATGCACAAACTTACAGCATTGATGACTCCAAATTCCTGATACATATCTTCTAAATATGATTCATGTCTTGAATTTGAGGAAAAGGAGTATTATCAAATTAATGTCAAGTAAAAAGGAAGATGTTCATTGATAAAACGACATTAAATGTCACTTTTTACTAAGTCAATGTAATCACAGTAAAGTTTGTCACACCGTTCCTTCCTGCTTGCTTCTAGTCTTTCAATGATGTTTGTCTTCTTTTGAGCAGTTTCTTTAAAATATAAAGCAAGTATGATAAAATTACACAAAGAAATAATTTATTGCTTTGGTCATACTAAATTGCTCAAGAGTGCTGGAAATGTGAAATAGTGCTCCAAATTTGAAAAAGTGCCAAAAAAGTGCCCAGCACAATTGAGACAGGCCTAGCAAAGTTGCTAGCCTAACATCTAATCTCATCATTCCAATAAGTACTTGTTTGAAAATTAAACTGAAAATTAAACTGGTTTGAAAATTTCAACCAAGTTTAAAAAAATATGAACCAGTTTGAAAAATTTAAATTGGTTTAAAAAAAATTAAAATGAAAATAAATTTAAACCATAACATATACATGTATAATTATATCATAAATTATACACAAAATAAACTTTAAAAAAATAATGAAAAATGTTTACATATACATGTACATGACTGTAAGTACTGTTATTAATTATATGGCTAGCTCCATGAGCAGGCAAGATGAACTGAATCCTGCACTGTAATTGGCTACCCAAGCAGGCATTTTGATGATGCTATATATCTTGCCCACTTGGGATTAACCACTGTGTCCCACAAGGAAATAGTGTTCTTTTTTCATTATACAATACATCCGTTATTGACCAAGCTTATTTGGTCAAGATAGCTGGATATTGCCCCCATTAATTTTTTGCATGTTTATGGCCCTGACAACTGCGTCTCAGACCATAAACATGCAAAAAAGGAACTTGGCTAATATCAAGCCATCTTGACTTCACGCTTGGTCAATAACCCAAATATACACGTAGAACTCACTTGGTGTATCTGGAAGTCCTCTTACTTCTATAGCTTCAAAAAAACTATCTGATTTAGATGTATTTTGCATGGCATCAAGAGCTGCATACCTAGAATTGAAGAGGAACACATAATTTGTCAAACAACATAATTTGTGATCTGGGTTAAGTTAATTCATTATTTTAGTAAGACATGTATTTTGAATCTTATCACTGAACTTGTTACACCTTGACTTACTTAAAATGCACTGGATTCTCTATGCTACTCTCATTTGGTCGTCCCTGCATCCACCTCTTTTGCCGGCTTGTCAGAATACCATGACCAGTCACAGCTCTTGATTCTCTGACCAGTGGTAAAAGTGGTGCAGACCTGGGTTTGGATGGCTGCCTTTCCTTTTCAAGTGCATCTACCAGGTTTACCTAGATTGCAGCAAAAATCAAGAAGAAAATTGCAATCTCTGCTTGGTTCATTGCCCTTTAATTTCATTGGCTAACCAAATGATATAACATAACAGTGCACAGTAACATAACCATCTTCATTTGCATTCTTTCCAGTTACGGACTGTTCTATTTTATTATGTAAAGCAGTCAAGGCCAAGCTAGTTCATCCCACTCTTGTGGACAGACATCAATAACAACACATTCATATTAAAAAATTCACTTAAGGTCATTCCCCAGTATTGTATTGCGCATCCCTACTGTGCATAATTTCACACATGATTAGTGCACATGCATTAAAAAATGGCGGCTTTTTCTTTATGACTGAACCTTGCCATAGAGGTAAATCGTCATTTTCTCACAAATGAGTATGGTGACCTATCATTTTTTTCTGTTTTTTTTTTTTTTAAATCGAGTAATAAATTTCTCTGTATAAAATAAATATAGACCAATTCTCAGTGTAGAATAAAAAACAATTGTCAGAAACGTGAATTTAGCAAGCAATCGTGACTACAATCATGGTGCTGTTATAAGTATTTATTGAGTATAAACAAGGTGCTGTTGCTCCTAAACGAACATGGGGACCCCCCATTTTTATTTCAAAATTCCTATAAGTTAAGTTAAGTTAAGTTCCTATAATATAAACAATCAATAGGCAAAGTTTGACAAAAATCTAAGTGCAGGTTCTATTTCAGTGGAATGACTTCAATTGTGATGTAGTAGTCTACAGTATATTGATCAGGCTAGGCAAATAGAAAAAAGTGCTGAAAAATGTACAAACCTCAGCAATCCAATGACTTATAATTAGTGAAATGTTAACGAAGTACCAAATTTGCGACAAATGCTCTTTTGACGCTTTGGTCAGTACTCAATGTTTATCCGCATTGTGCCAGGGTGCATTTTGTGTAGGGATACCCATGGATCTCCAATGTTGAATTTATCGCTTTTTTGACAACAATCCTTCAAAACATTTGCATCACATGGACTACACTTTGGTCAACATATCAATGTGGTAAAATTAATGTTCACCACTTCCTGACAGTTTTGGTTCAAGTTAACAGAGCTTAGGGATTACATGGTATGTACATCCTGCAGTGACCTTTTACTTCTCTAAAAGAAATTACACATAGTAGCCTGATTTTGTTTTTCTTCATACACATGTTGATGTAATTAATATAATCTTAGATTCCTCAGTGAATGGTTGACTATTGCGATATCATAAATGCGGACAACAATGAATGAGCATTTATTAAACAAAATTTCAACACGCCAGGGTTTATCCACCTGATGTTAAAAAATAGTTCACTTCCTCAACAATTTGTTATAACAAACATGCTTGCTAATACTCTTCTAATCAACAAAATGTGCAAGTACCAATGACAATTACAGCTGAAAGGTGCTTGCAAACCACCTTTTCAAACGAAATGCAGTACAGTTTTAGGCATAGGCCGCGATTACAGATCAAGACCTACTTAAGGATGTAAACAAATAATTTATAAACTTACGAGACAAACGGTAACCCAGCTTTCAATTTTAATAATTAAACCCATCACTGCACACGGTTAACCTGGCTGTTTGTTGTGGAGCTAAAAACGAATCAAAACTAACCTCTGCGTCAAACACTTGGCGATATACCTCATCCTCTGGTATCAGTCGGCGAGCTTTTAGTTCAGTCTGGGCCATAATAAGTCTGGTTGCTTGTTCTCGTGTTGAGTTATCGAGGACAATTTCTGTCTTTCACAGAATCCGCCATTTTAGTCAAGCGTTTGTTTGTTAGCAACATAAATAAGTTTGGTCCCAGTCTACATTCGGCCATTGTTCAAAAGATTGCTTCATGTACGACTACACGAATCATCTGCTGCACTGAAACCTTACACAACTCGGCCATCAGGCTGTCCGGGTATTACCCCCTGATGGGTGTACGTGACTTTTGTCTTCACAAGGCCTGCAGAATGTAGTGGAGAAGTTAATTCTATTTGTCCACACAAAAGCACTGGTGATCACACTTCCTTGGTTGCATCAATTGTTTTGAAATCAGTGTTTCGAGCCTTCCATGTCTGGGATGTCTGTCCAGTCTGCAGCAGCTGTAGGGAGTTGTACGGGTAAGACCAGTGTCTGATGTGGCGCCAACTTACATTGAAAAGTATCTGATTCACTTTCTTTTATCTCCATAAAATTTTAGGTTAATATGTGACAGCTGAAAATAACGATAATCGGCGAGAAATTAAATATACTCCAAGGTTATAGCTTCCGCTCCCGAGATTCAATCACACGCGTGTTCAGGTGACGTCAAGAAATTCTCAAATCCAAAACTAAAGTGCCCCTAAAGGTTTGCTCCTCATCAGGCATAAGAGGTACTAAATTCATATCTGCGTACAACTTTCCAGCTCAATAGCGTCGTTCGTTTGGAAATCAGCACAAATTCCGCAGCGGTGCGGAAGCTAAGATCGCGTTTGTCGAAAAATATACACTTATCTCGTGATTTTTAGCCATTGTAGGAGTTAAAGTGCATGTATTAGGAAAAGTGCTTGTGTAAATATTTTTTTTGGTTCGGTTCAGATAATCAGTTGTCCCAAAGTAAGCTCCAGATGTTTACACTATTTTCCGGCCGCCATATTAGAGGACTAAGGAGGTCCTCCAACATGGCGGCTCCATACTAGGCTCTATAATTTTGCGCGGAACATTTCGACAAATATCTCAACTTTTGGACAACGCACACACTTTAAACTTGGAGAACTATCTTCTTTATTTATTGTCTAGAATTTCTTGACTTTATCCAGTGAATGGTTTTTTATTTTATTTTTTATTGCGTGACAATGCACACACCCTATAGTGTATTTCCAAAGTGCAACGATATTGCACTATTATCGTTTTTAGATAATAAACAAATAAAATAGCTTATCAGAAACTTATCAGAAACTTAGTGCAAGTATCAGAAACTTAGGGTAATTCACATTTCACAGATATTCAATCTATTAAAAGGCTTGATAAATTTACCATTCCTTTTAGGGGATGGGTGACTTCCCATGACTTTTGACTTTCAGGGGGCAGGGAGCTTGCTGCTTAAGCAGTTTCCAACAGTCTTTCCCAATTTCAGACCACAAATGTCATTAAAAATTGTACCTTATGAAATGATTGAGAAAATTACTCCATTGTGATTGGCTGAGAGCAGGCCAATTTATCATTAATTTTTAATTTGCACTGCAGTGCAAATTAGATCTTGAGCATTTGTTATTTTCTCAGTCATATAATAAATGAGTAATCATATGGGATGGAGGCTTCAGCTATTATTAAAGGACTTTAACACTACTCATGATATTTCCTTAATGATATTTTTCAAATATTGCTTGGTGTATAAATCCTATATTTCACTCACATTGATACAATTACCTGTACTTATTTTTGTAAATGCCTTCTCACAGGCGACAGCCCACATTGCACCTTAGCTCAATGGTTTAAAGTGGTTCTTCTTGGGGATGCAAGAGTTGGTAAGACTTCACTGATAAGATCCCTTAAAAATGGCCAAGAATCATGGGAACTTCCAAAAGAGTATGAACCAACTGCAGGGGCCTGGGTAACAAACTTTGATTTGACAGACAGATGTAGGCTCCTTATTACTGACACATCTGGAAGGCCAGAACATACCTCTCTTGTCAATCTCTACTTGAGGCAACTTCATTGTGTTGTCTTTGTCTTTGCTCTTGACGAACTTTCAAGCTTCAAAAGTCTTAGTCACTGGTATCATGCTTTCATCCATGAGTTTACAGGTGATGTATCTAAGGTTGCAAAGTTTGTTGTTGGCACAAAGACAGATGCACAGCACAATACCACATTGCAAATGGAGGCAACATCTTTTGCAGAAGAAATTGGAGCAGAGGTGTGGATCACTTCAGCAGCCAAATCATTTAACACTCATGAGTTGTTAACCAGAATTGCTAGAATGGCCAATACTGATTTTCCTAGCTCATTGCTTGATGCAGAGGTTGCACCAAAAAGTGGCGATTCTCTAGATGGTCCTATCACAAGTCTCGATACATACCTGTTGGATGATATGTTCTTTGGAAAGGGAGCTTTTCTGAGGTACCCTGATCCAGTCCTACTGAACACTGAAGAAGAAGAGATTTCACACCTTGTGTTGTCCCATCAGTGTGTCACTATGACAGGAGAGAATAAAGTCTTCAAATGGGGCACCTGGTCCACAGGACGGTAAAAACACCACCTTAATGGCCGAATTTACATTAGAGATGAATTATCTTACACCAAATTTATATTAGAGGACTCTAGGTCTAGGTATGAATCTGGTGTTTAGACGAATTATGTGTCCAAATTCGTTTTCGGCTTTTCATCTTCAAGACGTGTTGACGGATGAATTAGACGCAGGTGAATTTCGTCTTAGCACCGCATTTATACCGAGACAATTTATCCGTCCAGGCAAATGAATTACCCTTCTTAGGCAGCTAATTCGTCTGAGACTGATAATTCGTCCCTAGTAAAATTTGGCCAATTTTTTTTTTAAAAAAAGGTAAATGATCGGCTGCAGAGTGTTTAGCACCTTATGGGTCCTTCCAAATCTCAGTTGCCTTTATTAAAAAATTTCGTCTTTTAATGGTAACAGAACGGTATAACAACGTTTTTTGCAACGGTTCCTTTCCCTTTTGTTTCATTTTCTTATGTTTTAGATCAAAAGAGGCAGTGCTGAAGTCAGAAGGCACAATGACATCTGTAAACACGTCAAGCAAACTCTGGTCCTGCGTGATGGCAAATTCAAAGCCTAGCACATGGCAGCATGAAAACTTAGAGGGTGTTATTAAGTATGGTACCACAATTAGAAGACAACCCACAAAGACCGAATTCAGACGTGTCAAAAAGCTACTCTTCACTTCGCGTAAGTTAATAAGTTTTTTGTGCACGAATGCATGATCGATACAGAGACTGGGACAATTTCATGTAGGAGCCATGGAACCTACGTGCATTAGGCATAGATTGACTTGAGGGAAGGCCACCGTTCTACTTTACACTGAGCAAGTGTAACTCATAGAAGAGTCCAATCCTCTCAGAGAATTAACGCTTTATTATCAAACGAAACGCATGTGGTTTTTCGCTTGATACACACCCAGTTCATTAGCAGTTTTATTAACAATTAAACTCATCAACAATAGGTGAGGTTGGGGATTGGTGCCTGGAAGGGTGGTGGGACTGAGAGCAGAGGAGTCGAGCGCCAGGGTATCCCTGGCAACCCTGTGAGCGGTAACCACCATCTGGCACCGTCACACTGCATGAAAATACAGTGGAAATGAATTGATGCTTACCATGAGGGGAGGGGAAGGGAGTGGCAGAACAACAAGAAAGCTAGCAAAGGCGAGAACACAACTGATTGCAGAATGTGTCACGGAAACGAGAACTGTACAAAGGTCAAGCCCTATCACTCACTGGGCGCCCCGCAGCGGAGGTGAGCCGCCATGGTGAAGACCGCTGCCTGCATTGTCTTCATTTTAAGTACGTCCAGGAGCCATAATCGGGGACGGAGTCCCCGATTATGGCTCCTGTCAAGACTTATTGTCGTAGAAGTGTTGTTTTTATGAGCAAGAGCAAGTTATTTGCTCATCAAGCCATGCATTATATCTGGAATTTCTGGTACGTCTAAATTACATTTGGCCACATAAATCGGCTTTTCATGCAAGAAAATGCTAGGTAAAGTAAGTAATCGGTTAACAACGTACCTCCCGTCAGTAGCCTTTCAGGTAAATTCATTTAGTGTACCTCTCCTTGTTTCGACTTGTTCCTCAGTTCCAAATTGTCACTTACCAAAAACGAAACAGTGTCTCATCGCATTCAAACTACTGAAAAGAGATTTAAAAATGCGACACGCAGTGGACTCATTGTATTTTGTACGAAATTCGAGGTGCTCGGAAATGTGATGAAACACAGTGGCTTTTTAAAATATATCACCACGATCGAAACTAAAACCATATGGAGAGAACTTGAAAATAAATAATCAAATGCTATGCTAGTTGTATCGTATTACCAAACCACGGTCACTGTTTTGACTGTTATGATTTCCATATGATTAAACTTCATGAATTTTCAACGAGGTTAAGAAGGACATATAATACGCTACATACTTCTTCTAATCTAGATATGTTATATCTACCTTCTCTTTCTATTTTAGGAGACAAGTTGGGCCAAGAAAGGGAACATGGCATTTTCTACATGCTGCTTCAATCAGAAGACGATACCCCTTCAGAAGTTGGCTTGAACTCGGTTTTTTGCAAAATGAGTAAGACAAATTTCTCGGAGAAAAGAGTTATTGAGAATAATTTTCGTTTCAAACCCGTACCAATTTCTGGAAGTGTGACATGTATGAGTATGTCTTCTGGTCATGCAGCTGTTGTTAACGACGACAACAAAGGCGTTTCAACTTGGGGCCGTGGAGAAGATGGTGTACTTGGCCTTGAGGAGCACTTGATTTCAAATTTTGATCCCCCTTCTCCAACACCTGTAACATCGATAAATTGTCAAGTGAAAGAGGTATGCTGTGGCGCAGAGTTCACGTTGATATTGACAAATGAAGGGCAGGTCTATTCTTGCGGATCAGGCGCTTTGGGAAAGTTGGGTCATGGAGACGAAACAGACAGACCTTTGCCATCGTTGGTAGGTTACTTTGGAATTGAAAATGCAAGCTTTTCCGCGGAAGGCTAGTCTCCTTCGCAGCCATTATTAGGGAGCTTAAGAAACCACGACGGCGATGCCGAGGACAACGTCGATTAAAAAATGATTTTATATTTTACCTACAAATCTCGCGGTACTCTCAAGTCATTTACTATGTTTATCACTGTCAAAGCTATCACGAAACTGAATCTAGGACACATCGATAAATTGGAAATACAAATATAAAAATTAGTCGTTGTGGTTCAGGTTCTCCAGACAACGCAGAATTTGATCATTTCACGTTGTTGTTTTGCAGAGGATTGCAAAGAAATGTACCAAGAATTATAACGCACATGCACTCCCATCGTTCTCCTCATTAAACCTTCTGTTTAGCGGCGTTGCCGTTGCCGTTGCCGTCGTGGTTTTCTTAAGCTCCCTATTAGCGTCGTCACGCAACGCTTCTCCCGCGCTGGGGAAGAAACGTTGCGTGGCGACCCAAATAACGGTTGCGAAGGAGACTACAGGAAGGCTCATTAATGAAAAAAGATCATATTTTTTCGTCTTTCTCTTCGTTCTACCGTGTCATTTCAATTTTTTTATATCTATTTGATGCCTTTACCGAACTCAGCAAACACTAGAATTGCCTGTTCCGTGCAAAAACGTCAGTTTTATTTTCATGGCTGCTCAAGTTGAGTGCATAACTGCGATGATCATTCATGTCTTTACATCTTTCTCCGTATTTCAAATATTTGATTTTTCATAAATCCATTAGCAAGAACGTCAGTTGCTCACAGATCTTACTTCTACATCCACCATGAGAAAACCATACAAATGTCCAATAACGTTGCTCGATAAAGAGCATTTCACTCCGACATAACTCATGTCGGTATGTTTTTGTAGCAAACGAGGGTAGGCATTAACTATATTGGTAGCCCAAAAGCTTACATAATGGCCCCCTTGAGTTACTGGCAAAAAGCTAATTAAGAGGGACAATGTAAACCTGAGTTACCACTTAAAAATGAAACTATCACTTTGTTCATCAGAAGCAATGCCAGCTGGCATCTCCTGTACACTTAAAAAATAATCTATGTGAAAAAGTGTTTCTAAGGGACAGTTCAGTTTTGTTCGCCAGGGGATACCACTAGAATGGAACGTTTTGTAGTTACTAGTTACCTTTATCACAAATTTTCAGATTGAATCACTTTGGAACATCCAATCAATTGCTGCAGGAGGTTACCATGCGGTGGCACTAACGAACAGCGGTGTGCTGTACCAGTGGGGACAGGAGTGTGCAAACGAAGCTCTAACAAAGTTCACAGTTCCCACAAAAGTGAGTCAAATCGACAATGTGCGCGTGACATCGGTGGCTTGTGGCACACATCACTCTGTGTGCATGGCTAATTGGTTGGGGTGGTACACGGGAATCCCGTATGCGTGGGGACGGGGTACGCATGGTCGACTGGGGCTGGGTCATCGCCAAAATTTGTATGTCCCACGCTGTATCAACGCATTATATTCCACTAGTACGTTTGTGAAGCAAGTGTCAGCTGGCGGGAAACACAGCGGTTTTCTGACTGTGCAAGGGGAAGTGTACACGTGTGGTAACAATGCTTTTGGACAGCTCGGTTACTTTACTCCTTCTAGAGACAGTGATGTGCCGCGTAAGGTCTGTCTCGGAAAGAACTCAACAGGAAATGAAATCAGGTCCGTAGGACTTTGTCTAATGTTTCATTGTTGCTTTAAATTAAGGAAAACCGAATATTGAGGATTAAAGACCTTTAAGAAAACATTCGAAGCCGCCACTGTTTAGGCTGTTCATGAAGTTCCCATCCCGTTACTAAACACAAAAGACATTGACGCTATAATGACAACATAATTACACTGCTTTGGTTCCCACACCCTCCCGTCCACAAGTCGGCGTCAATTTTGTTTTTCGTGTTAATAGCTGATTGTTTCTTTATGATTTACTATAACCGCACCTTAGAACATTGTGTGACTTAGAGGAAACTGGATTTAACCTGCCACTTGGTCAGAGTTAATTGGCTAAAAATCTTTTTAGAATCAAATTGTGACTGATAAATGCTTCTTTTATGTTGTGACAACTTTTATGCTTAGAGCCGAAGAACTGGTCTGCAAGGAAGACTACACGATGATTTTAACTACTGATGGGGATGTAATGCTGTGGGGAAAGTGCTACTATGGATCAAAGTTGGAAGATCCGATACCCCTTGACGTAAAAAGCAGTGCCATCACAGATGCCACTGATCAAGACTTGAGCATCAAGGATGTCACCACGTGTTATGTGCCATCGGGAGATTCATATATCGAGCTCGTTGTGGCTCTGACCAACGCCAGCAATCTGTTATTTTGCGCTGGAATCACACCTGAGTCTGATTGCCAGACTATGGAGGATCGCACACTGCAGATTCGCTGTAACAAGTCAAACTTGACTACTCTTTGTTCTGTGGGATCCGTTTTGGTCAGCATGGATCAACAAGGCAAAGCCTATTATGTGAACATCTGGCGGTGGTTGTTGAAACTTTTGTCACTAAACCCGCAGGGAAAGAAGACGCCTACAGACCTCACACATGCTTTGTTCTCCAAGCTGAATGAATCAGACATAGGACACTTACCCACTGTAGAGTTCGCTGCGGTAAACGTTTGTGCAAGTGTAACGGCAATCGAGGCTAGTCTCAGTACGTTTGTCTTTTGCTCTAACATTGGCGATTTGTACAGTTGGTCCCCCATGAAAGGCGGAGATGTCGTTCATCACAAAGAATTGGACAATGAAATCATCGTGCAAATTGCTTGTGGGGCGAGCCACCTGGCTGCTTTATCAGACAACGGAATACTTTACACATGTGGGGATGGACGATCAGGCCAGTTGGGACTTGGCACTTTTCAAACTACCCAGACGTTCAAGATAGTGCCGTTAACAGATTTCCACAGGGCACAAGCTGTATGTTGTGGCTGGGCAAGCACTGCCGTTCTCACAGAAAATGGAAAGGTGGGTGTGTATTTTTCCTAGTCTTAGTTTTTTTTCTGTTTGACGGCACTGGACGAACACTTGTGTCAAACTCTCTGATTAAACATGCGTCGTGTTATTTCCGTACAAGACAAGCTGAAACAAAGAGAAAAGAGGCGAATTTTCTATAAAATTAGAAAAACAAAGAGGGTATTTTATGCGAATGAATGTGTTAGAATGTGTTCTAGCTTGATTGATTAAAGTTGCCGTCCTAGCGAGTTTCTTAATGGACTTGTTCCGTATTCTTACACTGTATTTTAGGTGTAATGCAACTCTGAAGACCAAAAAAGCGTTTCTCTGAAATCCAAGTGGATCGTGGATTACTCATTGCTGCGTGCCATTGTTATGTATGTCGTAATCAAATTTATGATATGGCTAGCTCCGTGAGCGGGAAAGATGAATCAAATCCTTTGCTGTGATTGGCTACCCGAGCGGGCAAGATGGAGCTATCTTGCCCGCTAGGGACTACCCACCGCGTCCCGCAAGAAAAATTTCCCCGAAAGCCATATAATAAATCCTTTATTGACCAAGCTTGTTCGGTCAAGATGGCTGGATATTGGCCTTGTTCTTTTTTTGCGAGTTTATGGACCTCGACTCCATCTCGGTCCATAAACACGCAAAAAAAAGGACTTGGCCAATATCCAGCCATCTTGATCTCACACTTGGTCAATAACACATATATAATGTGCCCTATACCTATCTTCCAGGTGTTCTTTTGGGGTCAGCTAGATTTGCCAAAGGGAGAGAAGGCCAGAAGAAAACAATCGAGCATCACTACTTCAACAGAACCCTTTGATACTGTAACTCTTCAGCGAAAGGAAGACCGTGGCCCTTCTCCAGCAGAGTACAAAGTAGAATTTACGGGCGATACTGGAATCGTACAGCATCACCTTGCCGTAGTCGGTAGGCCATTCGAGGTCAAAATTCTGCAGAGAGATGGAAACACTGGCAGTAGTTCTTGTACGGTAAGAGCTATGAACCGCTATGAACCCAAAGCACTGCAAACAGTTTTGTGTCTACAACTCATACCAGTATTTTCTTTTTTTGTGTACAGGAGTTTCGAGCTGAAGCAGTTGACTTCCAAGACTCGAAAGAAGTCCACTCTAAAGGTAATATCAAACAGTCACAGAAAGGCGATGGGACGTACGTTGCATCCCTGGTTTTCTGTTCCGAAGGTTCCTTCAGAGTTTCCATAACTCGAAATGGAAAGAACGTGCTTGGAAGCCCATTCAAAGTGAATGCAGAGAAAGGTGTTTTTACCAAAAGGAGTAAGTTATCTCTGATTGGCTCCGACATTGAGTGCATGAAAGCAGTGGGTGGTGTTCTGCAGAAGGCCATCGATGCTGCAGACTCGAGAGTTGAGTTATGGGGAGTACCCAGCCTTACCGCCGACCTTGTTACTCAGGAAGCCCTGATGTTATCCTCGATCACCGACGGAGGAATCTATATCTACGTATGGGATGTCTTTTGTGGAAATCTTTCCGAGGAAAACCTCAACTTCTGGCTGTACCTGCTGTCACTGCAAGCTCCTTCTGCCAATGTAATTCTCTTAGGTGTAAATATAAGTAAAACACACGCCAATGAAATTGATCTGAAACCATTCCAAAACGTAAATCCAATGATGCAGCGATCCATCTTTGTTGGGACCACTTTTGCTTCAGAACCTGGCAAACTATTGGACGAAGTACTGTTGGTGGTAAGCGAAACAAACTACTACCAAAGTCTTGTGTGGTATCGACTAGAAAGTCTGGCTTCAAAGGTTCTTGAAATGAAGAGGAGCGGCATTGAGGTTCTTGATCATTCCACCTTCAAGTGCATCGCCAGTGAGTGCGGAATCCAGAGGGACTTTCTCAGCAAGAAAGCTGCCGAATACCTTGAGTTGACCGGAATGGGTCTGAGATTAGGAGGAGACTCTTTCTTCTTCGTTCTTCAACCACTCTGGTTGGCAAGGCACCTAACTGAAGTAGCCAGATTCAGTCACTTTGGAGCACTAGACAGGAACACGTTAGGTAGGATTGAAAGTTGCGATCCTTTGTGGATCTGGTATGCCACGTTTATGTTTCTTAAATTATGTTTTAGTTTGAACTTAACATATGCATGGAGGAAGTAAAGAAGTTTTAGTGACACCTATATGTGTTTATATGTTAAGTTAGAATATTTCTCGCTATAAGTGAAGTCTTTACAGTGCGGTTTTAGATCCTCTAAAAAAAATAACCAATGGAATGACGAGTTTTTAAGGACGTTCGCGCTAATTGTTTCTGCGCATCCTTACTGCGCACGCAAATTCACACGCCACGTCATGCATGAGCGCGCGCGCTAAGTAATAAAATGAACAATGATAGAGCAGAAGGCCATTGCTGTAGCTTTTCCTGGATTTGACTATCTTGGACGGTCGGTGAACCCTATTTTTCTTTTGATGAATCATTTTCTCTACCGATTTTCTACGTTTAGCGAAAAAATGAAGAAAATCTATCGACTAAAAGTTTGAATTTTTGCAAAATGCACCATCGAATTCCGTTCTTTTTAGCTCTTCGTTTATCTGTGCGACAGTTTTAAATGCCTCTTGAAGGGTTAAGTTTTGTGAAAACATTGGTAACATTTGGAATTATTTACGCAACAGACCCACTTCTACAAAACATCACCAAGATCGTTTGCCTCCGTTGACTCACCTCCGATATTTTTAACTGTAAACCCCTGTACACCATGCTGAACTACGTGCGCCAAATTTCAAAATTAGAGTAGTTTTCCACACGTGTTATCTCTGAAACGAAGTCGGTGACCCCCCAATTTTTTTGCATTTCTGACAACAGTAACTCATTTTCTGACCGCAGTAAAAATTTAAAAAAAATCTATCGACTGGAAAATTTTCGCGCGAGCGTCCTTAATAAAATATTGCTATTACACTTATTTTTAAAACACTATCGTACTATGCTTTCCACGGTCACAGATTCCACAAAGCAGCACATTGTCAACTTGTTGATTGAAAAGCGTGTGGCCGTCGAGAGGATGGACAAGCGTACAATCGACATCATTCCTTATCTCCCTCTGATAGCAAAGGAGAATTGGCCCTTGGTTGACGAGTCAAATCATACAATCTACAGGCATTTGGTGCTCACAGCGCCGCCCTATCACATCCATTCCATCTTCCAAAGTCTCGTTGCGAACGTTGTGCAGGAATACAGACGTGTAACCCTTGGAAAATACTTTTTGGTCATCTACAGCGATCATTATGACTGCCGTGTTGACTGTGGACCTTACATGATCAACAAAACTATGACACAGGTAAGGGTCATTGTGCGGGCAGGAAGCCAAGATATATGCAGAACAGGTGCAGAAACAGCAGTGGGTTTCCTCCAAAGATGCTTTGCCAAATTTGGAAGCTCGTACGAGATCAGTGTAAAGGTATCTTGCAGCTCGTGTAGGCAGGACTATGTTGATTTGTCCGTTGTACAAGAGGCAGCAGCACAAGGCAAGACCGAACGTGAGTGTGGAAGATGTCATAGAAAGAGGTTGTCAGTTGATGACTTGTTGAATGGTTTCAAAGATACTCGGCCGATCGAAGAGTTAGTCTGGCATCCTTACCACAGGTTACAACATCCAGGTTTGTACTGAAGAAAAGTCTACAGGTTTGTGTATGAGTTGTTTTTATATCTTCGTAAAAAAAAAAAACAATCATTGTCACTTACTGTTTCAAACGTATGGTCGAAGTGAAGAAATTGAAGGGCAGGCATTGACAGAGGATCATGAAGGAAGAGCCTTATATTTGTACTTATGTTGAAAACAAAGTCAAACTACGACGGTACAAAAAGAAAAAATAGTCCTGACTAAACATGTTGATATATCTTTACCATCAATTGAGCAATTCGACAACTTACAATTCTGGTCAGCTCTTCTCCTGTAATGTTTGTGTTCTTCGCAGACTTGTTAAGGTTAACTTGGAGTCGTGTACCCAATTTTTTCATCTTAAACACGCCAATCGGCGTATTGAAGGTCCCGTATCCTCTTGGGACTAGTCCCAGTCCTCGAGCAAAATGAATTATTTAATAGCGCAAATTTGTTCTGCTTGAATGGCAAGACATACTTTAAAAATTAACCTTTGGAAACATCTAGAAACTTATGAAACTTAACGCTTCACTGTGGCTGAGGAAGTATTACGAACGTCACTAAAGAAAACTCTTGACATTGGTGGCATGATTCACTATAGCCTGCCAGCAGGCTCACCTTTGAGTCACACGCGGGAGCGGCGAAGAGCAAAGCGATCCGGCGGGAAGGAGTCTGTTGAAGAGGCACTTTCTCGTCTCGCGGCTTCTCCGCTCGATTTCGCGCTCGCGGCTACGCTGCGCGCGCTTGTGCTCCAGCGTGAGCCTGCTCGCAGGCTAGATTCACTATGGATAGGCCTAGGACAAAGACAGGGCGATTTTAATTATTTACTCGGCTTTCAATCCCAGCTGTTTTGGCTCTTTCATTTGATTTTACGTTACATTTCCAAGCCCCAAGTGGCCCATACCCCAGAGCGGACATTTCCACCTCAACTGACATGCTGTTACGACCCCTGGTGCGATACTTTGGTGATGGGGACGAGACGCTGCTAAAGGGAATCAAAGCAATGTTTGAAGATATGACCAAGGTTTTCATGGACTTAAAAAATGTAAGTTAAAAGTTTTCAATATCACTGTTAGTTTTTCGATCAAGGCAGCATCCTAAATTTGAATATGATTTGCTTTATTCTTCTGACATTTTGAGAAGAATATCGTAAAAATAAACTCATGAGGGACAAAGGCAAGTCGTCAGTCCTAGAAAAAATCATATAATACTGACCAACATGCCACTGAGTTTTACACCCTTCCAAGTAACATTTGACTGATGCATACTATTTATATTTGCCTGAAATGATGATAAAAACAGTCAAGAAATGTTACTGAACGACTTTCAAACATCAGAGAATTAAAGCTTGTGTAATATCAATCTCGTTCCCAGAGCCCACGTGTCTTTTGGTCAGCGCCAACCAAAAGACACGTGGGCTCTGGGAACGAGATTGCCATGTTTTAAACCGTGGCACGCATGCGCCGTGAAACCGGAACTCCTAAAATCTTGGAGTCTGGAAATTGATTATTCCTGAGCTCCGTGTCTTGGCGCTGACCAAAAGACACGTGGGCTCTGGGAACGAAATTGGTGTAATATGAGACCTGAAAGACGAGTCGCAGGTGTTACTTCTCTAAAATGCGATTGTGTCAAAATGTTAAAATTATTTTTTAACGAAAAGATTGTTGTTCTTAACCATTTTTTCCGCACTTTTACATTGCCTCTCTTAGTGCGACGTTCCAAGGACCGTCTGTCTTTTACCAGAGTTGCAGAGATCTTCTGTTTTTAATACCAATGCTATCAAAATGCTTTTGACGTATGGTCAGCCAAAGTATAGGCTGTTTCTACTCTGTGAAGGAAATGGAGATGGGACTGGGGTACACTTTCTTGACCACAGCAAGCACAAAGGCTACATGCTGGAGACCAATGCAGCTGAAGGCCTAATCAAGGAAAGCGTTGAACTGTTGCGGTTTGCCTTGCAGGTAAAAACAATTAAACTATTAAAAAGAAAAAAGAAAAACAGAGTAAAGCATATCCATATATAGAAAGTAATTTGAGTTCGAGACAACGAGGTTCAATAAATATACTGCCTAAGGCCGACAAGATAGTTTGTTTATAATCAAATATTAATTTCGAGCGATAGCCCTAATTCACTAATATAATTAGTTCGAATAAACACAAAGACTGTGGATTGAGTCTTTTGTTGGAGGCCTAGGGACAAATAAGCAAATATCGATGCGCTCGACAGTTTACAAGAGGTTGTTTGGGGCAGGGAAGTAGTGGTAAGTTCTACGCAGTGATGTGGAATAAATCTCTGAATTACTGACGCTCACTGACCAGTTCGCAAATTTCAATGTGTTTAGCAGTTCAATCAATTCCTTTAGGGGTTATTTCTAAGTTTGCTGAACTTAAGACTAATGTTGATGCTAATTGGGATGATAACTTGTTTTAGCTTCTTATTTCATTTTCGACTGGGGCTAACTTCGCCAGAGGCTTAGGCCTTTTTGACGTTGAGGGAACTCTGAACAACATACTTGGTACGGTTGGCCTGAGTGGAACCATGCTTTGCACCGTTCCATGGAAGAATATCTTCAAAGAGGTTTGTAATGCCATCAGTTTACACCGAAGATAATATTGGTAACCCGTGAGATTGAATTTCTTCCGCCGCTCCCTCCATACGGCGGCCTCTGCGTGAAACGGTTCTTTAAAAAAATGAAAGGCAGAGGACATACTCGGAATGGAGGTCGATACTTAGGTACCGTGGGTTGCAGTCAGTTAATACCAAAAAAGGAAAAGAAAGTGGGTTTTTCGTTTTTGTAACGGGAAGGAAAAGAGGTGTCTGACAATGGCTCTCATATTCACATTTTCCTAAACTAACTAAATTTCGCGACCTTTAAAGTAAGTGTATAATTTTAGCCTCACTATTTTCCTCTGCTCATCATGTCACAAACTATAGCTCTTACCAGATTAATTACTTACTATTAAACGTCTAACTCCTTGTTTTACGACATGTTTATGTCAGTAGCTGAGCCTGCGAAAAGGCTCTGGCTGGAAGATTCTGACCACGGCTGGAAGAACTGGCTCTCCCCCCCTCTCTCTTATGATCTCCTCTTTCTCCCCGCTTTCTCTTCGCGCTATCCTCGACTAGAGAGCCTGTTCACAGGCGTTTATATCAGTGGATTATCAAACAATGCTCCCATGACCCAACTGAACCCGATCTAAACTGTTGTATTTACAGATGGATGGATTTATCAAGAGCATGCAAGAAGTGTCAGACTCCATTCGACAACCTAAGGACCTCAGCACGTTATCTGGTCTGGATCGTGGGTATCGAGTGGGAGGTGAAAGCTACGAGTATTTACGTAAACTTCTATCCGAGTTTAAAACCATAGACGACTTTGGCGGGTTACGACAGGAACCTCGTGAAGGGATTGGAGCTATTTGGGTTTGCTCAGAGC